GGCTTTACTGACAAGATGCGCGTTAAATATCGCATGCGATTTATCGTGCAGCCCTAATACCCAACAGCAAAAAGGCACAGGCACACTGTTTACTGACAAGTGTGATGATAATGATTAATTTAAAGGGTGGTTGCAAAAAATAAAGCATAATTTCCTCATTTTAGCAACCTCAAGGCAACATGAATTCAAAATTAGCATCAGAAAGGAGAACAGCAGTGATGCTAATCTCTTTCTGTTTTGTTTGTACTGTACTTCGTAAATAAAAATCATGGATACCCTAAAAGAAATACAACTAAGTTTACAGATGTGATTGATGGCATTAAAGGGGTCATATGATGCGATTTCAAGTTTTCCTTTCTCTTTGGAGTGTGACAAGCTGTTCGTGAATAGATAAGATCCCTAAAGTTGCAAAGACTAAAGTTGGTGAATTCAGTTCCTCTGTTTCCCCTTCGGCGCGCATGCTGACCAGTCTATGATGCTGACAAATAATGCTGACTCACAGCCGATCAAAAAGTAGTCTTTTTTTGTCCATAGCTGCAGATGGGTCCTGGTGTGAACCCTGCTGATACACTTACAGCCTGGTGACTCCTCGTGGCAGCAACTGCCGCACCATGTGTTGCCATGCCGCAGTGAGCACAGATCACTTACATAAGACCACAGAAGAGATCAGGCAGAGACAAGGAAAAGCCCAAGGGGAAGGCCAGTCTAGCTGAGTGTCTGCTGACCAACTTCAGAATCAGAATCAAAAATAACTTTATTGCCAGGTATGTTTACACATACGAGGAATTTGTTTTGGTGATAGAAGCTTCCACAGCACAAAGAGATTACAGTGACAATACACAGTGAAATATTGGGTGGTGTGTACTGCTGAATGTTCAGCAATTCGTCCCTGGTGAAACTGATTGTGGGAATATAGCTAAAAACGGGACAAACTAACAAAAACATTAAAACAACTGGAGAGCTCCACACCGAGGCGGCCATGTTGTAAGCAGATACAATCACTCCCCTGCAACATCATGGAAAGAGAAGGTTTTTGTTCGACTTGAGATGTTCGGCTTTTTATATTAATGTTATTAGAGTTTGGGTTGTCCATATTTTATCTTATCACGGTCACTTTTTAGTCAGCTGACTAAAAGCTGTCGGTTCTGAGAATATACTCACAAATGTTAACTGTCATATATCTTAATAGAGTCTGAATTGAAAAACTGGTTGTTAAGGGCAGCTTCTTATTGACCTAAAGTAAGTCATTAGCTGATCGATTTTCAGGAAGTAAGCAAAACTAAACTTACTGAAAGCTCTGATTGGATTTGGAAAAATCAATAGTACACACCAAGTTAAAAACCTTGGGGAGGATTTGGTATTTTTCATGAAACACTTTGGTATCCTCCTGAATTTTAACACTGATAAAAATCAGTTTGCCATTTAATTATTACTTCATTAACGAGCAGCTGCTATTTTTTGACTTGAACATTTTTTGACTGATTTCACCCAACCTGTCGTGTTTAAACCCATCACCCATCACAAATGAACGTTAGCGAAATCCTTGACCCTGTGTTGCCAGCTACCTAACCAACGGTCTGACCTCCGTGGAACGGTTCCCCATCAGCTTTAAGACCCAGTTCTCCGGCCACCACTTCCATCACGTGGTGCTGGGCGTTTACTGTAACGGCCGATATGGCACCCTGGGTATGAGTCGACGTGCTGACCTTATGGACAGATCTCTGAGCTTCCGTACGCTCAGCGAGTTGGTGTTCGACTTTGAGGACTCGTACCGCCGCTACCAGCACACCATGAAGAAGATCAAAATTGGCCTGTACGTGCCCCACAATCCTCACGTTTTCCAGCCTATTGAGTGGAACTATCTGGTGATCAACGCCTGCAAGCAGGGCCGTGAGGACATGCGCAAAGAGCTGGAGAAGCATGGCCGTGACATGAGGATGAAGGTGAGTCCATAGCCTTCTAAGATACAGTGTTATATTTAGTATCATTGATATAATATGGTATTTTTGTAAATATTTTGAATAAAATTGTTTTAATTTTAGTTTATTTATATTTATTTAATCATTTTAGTACTAAATAAGTAGGTGTGTGTGTGTGTATATATATATATATATATATATAAATAAAATTATTTCAGTTAATATTTATTTTATTTCCAGTAATGAGAATTGTTTTATGCTTAACGGCTATTTTCTAAATGCGTTATTGCATTTGCATTATTTATCTTATTGTGAGCAAACCTATTTTATTCAATTAATTTTTGATTAAATAAAATTGTAATCAATACCATTGCTATATTATTGATATCGTTTATAAATATATTATTGGTAAATTATAAATATTTTATTGATTTTTTTTATATTTATATTTTTGTTGCCTTATAATTTTGCCAAAATGACATCTTAGGTTTTTGGAACAGAGATCTAATGTCCCTCTCAAAAACTAAGCTAGGTCAGTATGAACTAAATAAGGTTCTGTGGGAGGCGGAGCACATTACAAGGATCACACTTTTTATACTCTGTGTTATTTTAAAATAAACACTTGGAATGTTTTTCCCTGGTTAAATTATGACTGAACCAGGTTCAGGAGAATCTTTATTTGTCCTTGGCCGTTTATGAAGAGCTGCATAAGACCAGCATAATAGCTTGACATCATCTGTATGACTGTAACATGGGACATGTTTATCATCTAGACAGTAAAAAGTAGGTCATGTGCTCCCAGTTTCTCACATGCAGTCTTGACTTGTATGGATGACCGCAGTCAGCTGTGACATAGTTTCCATGAACCACATGAGCAGACAGTGGAAACTGCTCTGGATGTTTAAAAGTAATGTAGGTGTCTTTTTATGGATGTTGAGGAATTTGGGGCTCACTCTTTAAAACATTGCATTTGTGATCTTATTGTGAACGATTCATCCATGCATGCATCATTTTTTACTTTTTTTTTTCATTTTTAATATTTTTTTACTTTGTAATCAAAATGCCATAACTAAAATATATTATTAATATTTTTATAAATATATTATTTATATTTATTTATATAAAGAGAATGTAATTCCAGAGAGTGGAAATTTCACTCTAGACTCTCTTTGAGTGGAATGTAGGCGTATTTTTATGGATGCTGAGGAATTTGGGACTCGCTCTTCAAAACCTAAATGTTTTTGCAACTTGTCTTTTATGTTTAGGCTATATGAACATTTCAGAGCATGTGACAGGAATATATATGTATAATATATGTGCATTTTCTGGAACAAAGCCTTTTTGACTAACCAATTACTAAACTAGTCATCTTTGAGTCAAGGACATTACAATTATATGAGTAATGAGTTTGCAGAAATAAAATCTAAATTTATTATTGCAGTCTACCTTGAAGGAGTTTCTTAATGTACTGAACACCCAGCATCTGGCATCATCAGCATGGAGCCGACAGAGTCATTCATAATGAACCTCATTGTAAAAATCAACTTTTAACGACTGAGAACATCTCAATGTCAAGTTGCCTCTCATCACTTGTGCAGCTCATTTGGGGAAAACACGATATATAGAGCGATTGAGAGTTTGGGAAATCTGTTGTCTAGTAGCATAATGAAGTTAATACTACTACATAATGGTCTATCTGGAACTGTGTTGAACTGGTTTAAATCTTATCTTTCAGAACGTTCTCAGTTTGTTTACCTGGAGCCTTACCGTGCCGTACCATGCAGTGGAAAAGTGCCATTAGACTGCGCCTTTGTGTCAGGGTGTCCCTCAGGGGTCAGTTTTGGGACCTGTTCTATTTAGTATTTACATGCTGCCTCTTGGGCAGATTATTCAGACGTATGGCCTGGGCTATCATTGTTACGTGGACAATACCCAGATTTATATTAGCACTCAGCCTGATTGCACTTCTTCCTTTTTAACTCTTTCTGCCTGTTTGCTGGAAATTAAGGCATGGATGAAACAACTTTCTAAAACTAAATTGTTCTAAAACTGAAATTGTATTAATTGGCACTCCATCTAATATTACTAAGTTTAGTCATTTTAAACTTTCAGTCGACAATACCCAAATATCTCCTCCTCAGGTGTGTAATTTGGGTGTGATTTTTGATGCGCAGTTGACTTTTAATTCTCACTTCAAAAACATAACTAAAATAGCTTTTTTCCATGTTCGTAACATTGCTCGCATTAGACCCTTTCTTTCTAGGCCTGATGCTACTGCTGCTGCACATATAACACATATGAATAACCCCCGCATAGCATACATGAATCATCTTGTAGCAGATCTATACAGGTGGAGCTGGGGAAGGTGGACGGGTTTTGACTTATACATCCTCACGCCATCACATTACCCTAGTGCTCCAGCAACTTCATTGGCTCCCGGTTCGATCACGTATTGATTTTAAAACTCTGATTTTAACATATAAAGCAGTGCTTGGGCTGGCTCCAGATTACATTTGTGACTTGGTAAGTCTTTCCACGCCTTCTCACTCTCTCCGCTCTGCTGGTTGTTTTTCCTTGTATCAGCCTCGTTGTCAGGGCTTAAAATTCTCCGGCACCGTGCCTGATCTCTGGTGTGCAGCGTTTGGCTGCGGGAAAAAATATTTCTACATTTTAAAAAAAATAAAATCTTGTTGATTGATATCACTTTCGAGTACATGAGTTCGCCTACCAATAGTATGAGAGGAGCACAGCTTTCACTCTCAACCAAACTAACATTACTAGCCAATCAGAATGTTTTGCTCTTATAAACACGAGACGCGCATAATAGTATCCTATTGCGGAGCAGCAGACCTGCTGAATGG